CTCTTTTGGAGAAGTCTTTGGAAGCACATAAACATTTAATTTTTAGAAGGTCCTAATCATCTGGCTTCTCTTCTGCTGTTTGTGCATTTTGAATTATGCTTGCTAGTCTATTTATACCATATATTAGGGCCCTTAAGTTTGACCCTAAATTTTCCTTGAGGAACTGTATATTCTGATCATTTTTGAATTGGAGGCTTGGCTTTGAAAATACTTCTTTTTCCTTCCATCCATGTTCATCTTTGTTTAATCAGAACCTCAGTATGATACACTCTTATTCTGAAAGGCTCTAGCATCTTTTCCTTGTAAATAAAAGGACAGAGCTGAGGAGCCAAGAGAAGTTGTTCTTCTGTGAGGTGAGGCTGAATTGGCTACAGGCTTTTATCTTTTTGTTTTTTCTTATCAGTACTCTACCTTGATCTTCAAGCCCTAGTTGTTCTGGAGTTGTATGGTTGACGGGCTGGACTGGGTCCTCCAGAGAGACTCTACCTCTCTTGGTCTCATGTATCAGAGCCAAAGTCCCCTGTGAATCCTTCCTCTGGAAAGGTAGAGGATCTGTGAGTTTGTCTTTGGTCACTGTGGTTTCAGCCTTAAGGGAATGTTCAGCGTCTTTTCCTAACCAGGCTTTAGAAGTCCGAATTTACTGAGGCTCAACTTTCACTTTCAAGCCAGAAAAAAACTGAGTCAAACGTTATTAATCTCTCTCCAGATCCTTCTTGGAAATCTTTTCTGTAATCTCAAGTACCTTCTTTCCACCTTCAATCTGAGCAATTATCCTACATGTCTCTTGACAATGCTTCTAGAAATACATTTTTTGGGGGAAACTGTGTAGCATCTTGCTGTCACATCCTAGTTAAGGAACATTAACAAGGGACTTGAGAGACGTGCATTGGACCTGCTTAGCAAACCATAACTTACCCAGGGGCTGTGCCAATATGTGGCATTATTAAAGACTTTTCTGTGATTGTATTAGCAGTAAGACCATGTTAACATTTATGCAGCATCAGTAAAATTTAAATAGAGATAAAAATAAAATATTGCAATTTAGTGTTTTGATGGCAAGCAAACTGCAGTATTCTAAGTGTTCTAGCTGAGCTTTTGATGGCTCACTGGAGGGCCATTACAGTGACAGCGTGGTATGGCGCCAGATCTTTTGGAAGCCAACAGCAGCCTTCTGAACATCATGAAAATGTCAATGTTTTATGCAAAGAGGAACTTGATGCAAGGTAAGAGTATTTCTATATAGAGAAGCAAGTTTCAGTGCTCTAGTCTGATATTCATTATTTACTCTTGATTGTCCTAAGCATTGCCTCTGCACCTCTTGTGCACATACACATGTATGTTCACATCCATACATGCAGTGACTATGAGCTGGCTCTGTGTCAAGAGAGCATTCAAAGGATAGTGAGCACCTTGGAATCATGGAGTTCCAAGGCAGGGGCATTATCCAGAAGTCATTCCTTTCAGCTTTCTGCTGATGGGCAAGAGTACTGCCCCATTTGTCCAGATGTTTGAGTATTTGGGAGGACTAGGCAGACCAGTGAACCTAGAGTCAGAAAATCTGGGTTCAAACTCAGTCTCTTACAGGGGCAAATAATTTTCAACTTTCTATGCCTCAGCTAGGGAGCCCCAGTGGCTGAGTTGGCTGCTAACTGAAAGGTTGACAGTTTGAACCCAGCAGCTGCTCCATAGGAGAAAGATGTGGCAGTCAGCTTCTGTAAAGATTTACAGCCTTGGAAAACGAATGAGGCGGTTCTCTGTCCTGTAGGGTTGCTTTGAGTTAATTGATTCAACAGCAGTAGGGTTTTTTTTTTTTTTTTTTTGTAAGCCTCAGCTATTTCATATGTTAACTGGAGACAATAATAGATTTCCTATGCATTTCAACCCTAGACTGAGTATCAAAAAATAATACATTCAGAGGGAAAAAAAAGCCAAGCCAGTTGTTGTTGATTCTGACTCATGGTGACCCTGTATGTTGTACAGTAGAACTGTACTCCAGAGAGTTTTCATGGCTGTGACCTTTTTGATTAGCATGCCTTTCTTCCAAGGTGTCTCTGGGTGGACCTTTACAGTAAGTCCGGTAAGAATGATTATAAAGTGCCTGTTACTTATAAAGTGGTATATTAACATCATCATCACCCTTATTATGATGGGTCCTTTTTACTATAAGTTTTCACTATAAGGAAGTTCTTCCTTAGGTTAAGCCTAATTCATCTTTCCTTTGTCCTCCTCATTTCCTCTTTTCTCTAGCTCTCTTGGTGCTAATCTTGCTGCTTCACGGAGGTGTTTATTTGCCTGTCTGA